GGGCTCACTACCAACAACCTCATTCCATCAAAAAGTCGTCCGAGCTGTGGGAGGCTTTACACTCGTATGTCAGGGTTGGCTCCCGTGGAATTCATCGTCCAAGAAAGAACAACTAAACAAGCCCTATACATATGCAAAAAAGATCAAGCGGCTATATTTCAGCAAAGCAGCCTGCATTGACGTAGGGATACTGTCAAAAGACTTCCCAAACCCAACGACTACAATATTACCCCCAAACAGCAATGCAACACATGCCCTCGACAAAGTACACAAAAAAATCAGACGCGAGCCCTAAACAATGCAAAGTCGAGGGACAACTTCCAACGCGCCCCCAAAAACCCCTTTTCCCCCAACAGAACAAAACATTGATAGGCTCAAGAATTGGCTATTAAATCAATTCGCCGAAACGGTGTTCAAAAATAATGGTGAATTCCACCAATGTCTGGCCCCACTGCTCATATACACCTCAAAGAAGGAGCAGTCCCCAAAGCCAGACATAACCCAATTCCTGTGCCTTTTCACTTCAAAGAGCCCGTAAGGCAGGCCCTTTGGGAAGATGTGAAAAGGGTATCATAACCCCAGTACCTGTTGGCATGCCCACTGATTGGTGTAGCACTATGGTAATTACCGCCAAGAAAAATGGCAAACCACGAAGAACCATAGACTACCAACACTTGAATTCACAGTGCAAACGGGAAACACACCATACAGGGTCACCATTCCAGCTAGCACTACAAGTGCCACCTAAACAAAAAGAAAACGGTGTTGGATGCTGTTGATGGATATCATTCCATCCCCTTAGATAAAGAGTCCCAGCCACTCACCACCTTCATCACAGAATGGGGAAGGTTCATGTACCTGAGGATGCCACAAGGTTACCTAGCATCTGGCGATGCCTACACCCGAAGGTATGATGAAGTAATAAAAGACATTCCCCGCAAAGTAAAAATCGTAGATGACACACTACTCTACGACTCTGACATCGAAGGAGACTTCTTTCACACCTTCAATTTCCTCTTCCATTGCTCAAAAAACGGTATCGTATTCAATAGAGAAAAGTTCCAATTTTGCCAAGACACTGTGCAGTTTGGGGGCCTCCAGATAACATCCTCTGGTGTAACCCCTTCTAAATCCATGCTGGAGGTGATATTAAGCTTCCCAATACCAAAAACACTCACCGATGCCAGATCATGGTTTGGTCTGGTCAACCAAGTCGCTTGGGCATACTCACTGAGCCCAGTCATGCTTCCATTCTGTGATCTCGTAAAACGAGACTCACACTTTATATGGAATAAAAGCCTTGAGGATGCATTCCAGCATTCAAAGAAGGTCATAGTTGACTTAGTTCAAAAAGGCATTGCAACATTTGAAAAAGAACGAATAACCTGCCTCGCCCCAGATTGGAGCAAAGACGGAATGGGCTTCCTACTTCTACAGAAGTATTGCTCATGCACCACCAACAAAGCCCCAGTTTGCTGCCCTGAAGGTTGGTGCCTGATATTTGCTGGTAGCAGATTCTGCATTGATGCTGAACGCAGATATGCACCTATTGAAGGCGAGGCAGCAGCAATTGCGTGGGCATTGGAAAAATGTCGCATTTTTGTAATGGGTTGCCCGAATCTCATAGTGGTTACAGATCATGAACCATTAAAAAGGATTATTCGGAGATAGAGATCTTAGTAAAATCCAAAACCCCGATTATTCAGGTTAAAGGAGAAAACCCTCAGGTACAGATTCACCATTCAGCACTGCCCTGGAAAATGGCACAGAGCCTCCGATGCTGTCTCTCGTAACCCAGCAGACATCTCACAGGCACTCCTAAATGTATTCACTGCTGAACTCTCTCAATCAGACATCATAGAGTCTGACAATATGGATGACTGGGTCAAATCAACAACCCTATTAGCAACATTTGGTGCAAATGACAACCTGGAGCTCATCTCACCAGACGTTATCCGTGCGGCGGGACGCAGCGACCCCAATACAAAAAAATTAATTGAGGTAATACGAAATGGATTCCAAAGGACGCGCAGCCTCACTGCACCCGAAATCCGCGAATACTGGGAAGTGAGGCACCGCCTGAAAGTGTTGACGATGGAATGCTATTAGATCAAAGAATCGTTATCCCCACCCTCTCAACGCGCAAAAGTCTTACATTACATTCTGCACACCAAGGTGAAGGTTGCCAATGAATCTGTTTATTGGCCCGGGATGAATGCTTCAATAAACATTAGAGCAGGTTGTACGTTCTGCTCAAAAATTGCCCTGAGTCAACCAAAAGAGCCAATCAACTTGACACCATCTCCTGATTGGCCATTTCAGCAAATCGTCATGGACATCTTCCATGTTGGGAACCATGGTTACTTAGCATGCGCTGACAGGTTAACAGGCTGGCTAAATCTATACCACTTGAGCCACGGAGAAGCTAATGCGTCAAGGATTATTTCAATTTGCCGAGACATATTTCAAGCCTACGGTGCTCCCGAGGAACTCAGCACTGATGGTGGGCCACCCTTCACATCCTTTACATTCAAGCAATTTTTACAAGACTGGGCTGTCAAACACAGGTTATCATCTGCAGGTTACCCACAATCCAATGGTTGAGCAGAGCATGCTGTCAAAACGGCAAAGAGAATCGTAAATGGCAACACAGGAGCCCAAGGATCGTTGGACAATAATCGTGCAGCAAGAGCCATCCTCCAATACAGGAATACGCCCATTCAAAACATTGGGCTATCCCCTGCTCAACTACTACTCCACCGCCGACTACGTGACTATATACCATCCCACCCCACACTCTATAAGCCACATGCGAATTGGATAACCGCAGCCCAAAATCGTGAGATAAGTCTGTCCCGGCGGAACGCTCGTCTCATAGAGCGATACAACAGAACAGCACACACCTTAAACCCCCTTCAAAAAGGACAAATAGTGGCACTACAACGACCAACAACCCGCCGATGGGACACAACAGGTCAGGTCATTGAAACCCTCCCCAACCACCAATACCGTATCAGAGTTGATGGATCAGGTAGAATTACCTTACGAAATCGCCGATTCCTCAGGAAACTGGATACACCTACAATTCCAGTTCCAAGCCCTAGTGCCTTACCTGAGACCCCTACACCAGTGCCACAAACATTCGATGCTGGAATAACGTTGAACACTGCTCAGTCGTCTACAATAACACGGACAAAAAACCCTCGGGCATTGTCCAGACTACTTCCGCACAACCAGCCAGGTTTAAAGGAACTCATCCCTCCCCAAAGGCCACTACCCAAACGCGATGGGGGAAGGAGATGTAGAATAACAATAATAAACAGCACTTACCGGTGTAAAGGTCCCAGCTAGCGTCCAGCTGGCAGACAAAAAATAAAGCAGGTTGTAACTTAATACAAACCCTGCAAACTAACAGATGAATCAAGCTGGTATTTATATAGAAATACCTCCACTCAGGTACCAGCAGCCAATCACAGCCCAAGCAATGGACTATCCCACTTTAGCACAATGAGATGCTCTATGGCAACATAAATAGCTCTCTTTCCAAAGGTTGGATTATTGTTCACTTAGCTTGCTCCACAACTAAGTGTTTATCTCTACCACGTGATTTTTCTACATCTATACTTGTTCAAAAATTCACTGTAAATCGACTTTATTGTTCTCTTCTGTGGTATTGTATGTCAGTTAGATTCCAATGTAAATAAGGATGTGTGTCATATCCTGTTGGCATTCCTACATTTTTTAAAAACAACCAAAAGAAAAAGCTTAACCAGAAATTGTTGTAAAAGTGATTCAGGATATAAAAAGTGTGCACTGCATTGACAAAAAAAAAAAAGAAGCATTCTGCAGCCCAGATGACTAGGATCAAAGTGTAGCATATGTTCCAGCAGCTGATAGCTGGCCCACAGCTCTATCATCTGTAACACCAGCTTGCCATCAATCACTGCTCCAGCCATCCACATCAGGCTTCTGGCTCCAGCCATCCTTGCCAGCAGCAATGATATGCAATAAGCTTTCTTTTTTAGGACGACGCTCTTCTGTTACTACAAAACTTCCCTTCTCAAGACAACACTCCTCAATGATGATTAAATAATCTTTTTCAGGACAATGCTCTTCTCATCCTCTACATGAACATGCAGAGATATTTTTTGCCTAATGCACTGTAACCTTATTTTTGTTGATGTATTTTTTTTAATAAAAATAAACTTGGAAATATATTTTTTTTACTCAAGTCTTCATATTGTTTGTTGTTGTCTCCCATCATTCAATATCTGTTTGCAAGCCAATATACCGCCCTCAACATGTGTTCTCAACAACTTTGTTTTTTTTTTGTTCTTTTGAATGTATTATTTGTTATCTTTAAATTTGATGCATGCTCACACAATTTGTTGGTATTTGTACTACTTGTCAACCTTCACTGAAATGGTTTCATGTATGACAAATATGTGTTGTCACCTTAGAACGGAGAGTGCCTATGCTATAACATGATATATAAAACCTTTTCATGCTAATACCTTGAGAAAAACATGAGCATGAATATTCTCATATTACTGATTTTATTTAATCACTGATATAACATAAACACAAGAAGTTGGATGAGATTAAAACAGTTTTCTGTTGTTTTGAATGAACTGACATGATAGCATATGATACATAAACTCTATATATCAGATTAATAATAATTAAATGACAAAATGAAAAGAAATCCTGTTCAGTGTTTCATCCTTCAAAAGTATTCCTTCAGACACATAAATATTAATTAATTTGAGGAAATCCTTTCAAAGATGAAGCACATAACTTAGGATTTTTTTTCAATTTTGTCATCCAATTTACTCATTAATTGACATGTAAGCCTCTAATAAGAATTGGTTTCATACACAGAAATAATTTACATCACCAACCTTCTATATATTTAAAATTTCCTGTCTTTCTGTTGATCCTTTATTTTAAGATCTATTACACTGCTGTCAATGCTTTTTATTTCTTTGTTTTTAAAATAGAATTCGTTCAAGTGGAACTTTAGTTTTTGCTGATCAATTTCTTCAACTGTCATACTTCTTACCCTCAAATTTTATATATGGACTTGGAGAACATCATGGTCCACTGCTACATTCCACAAAATGGTCCAAGATTCCATTATGGAACAAGGACCATATTCCTAAGGTAAGATGTTTTATTATTTCTCTTTAGCTATCATTAAATTATACCATAATTGTAGTGAAAGAGATAATCATTTATCCCGAAAAAAGTTTGTGTTCTGTGTGTGATCTGCCGAAATAGCTTGTTGTAGTAAAGAAAAGACTGTCAACTGATAGTAGCAACTGCAATAGATTTCTTGTTTCTTGACTGCAACACTTGTAGCCAAATTGCAGTTCAAACGGTAGTCTGTCGTAACATTCCAACAAAGTAGAAATGACAAAATGGTGTCACATGTCCAACCTTCTCATGAGCAAAAATGTGTATTCCCCGGCAGCTCTGAAAATCTGTGTTTATAAGCGAAAAACAACGGCTTTAATTCATTGAGAGATTTTTCTGATTGGTCATGCCATTCAGGGGAGGGGAGAACATTAGCATAGATTATAGTCATTGAAGTAGATTTTTGCTAACTACTTTTTGTAATTTTTCTTCAGCAGATCACATGTTCTGAAGACTCATCTTCTGAGGATTCCTCTGATCTGACAACCTCAGGCATAGAGTCTTCGCCATCTCATGAATGTTCTGAAGACTCGTCTTCTGAGGATTCTTCCAATCTGACAACCTCACACACATTGTCTTCACCATCTGAAGAGGTGCTAGCCCTACCTTCAATGGTTATTATTCGTTCACTTCCTGAGCACTCACTGCTAGTGTCACTTGTTGAAGTATCTGAACCTATATAGGGATGCAAGTCTTTTACGTGTCTTGGTATTCCATCAACCAGCACAGAACTCTAGTTACTTATTCCAGTGACATGCCCCACCCAGTATTGAGTTGTACACTGGCTTATGCTGATGTGTGTGGACAAAAATTGAGAGAATGCAAGGAGTGTCAGTCCATCAACCCAGCACCTGTGCAATGGCCAAAAGGACAACTGAGTGTGAGAAAAGTGTGGCACCGTGTTGTAATGGACATTACCCATCATAATGGAACCCACTATCTCACTCTGATTGACTGTGGCCCAACCTGGTTCACTATTTGGCGACGTCTGCGTCAACAGGATTCCGCAAGCGTGATTGACCACTTGCGGGCTGTGTTCTTTGAATGTGGACCTCCGACGGAACTCCTCACTGACAATGACACTGCATTCCACAGTGGACATTTTAAAGGTTTTTTGGATTCGTGGGGAGTCTACCTCAGATTTCGCTGCGCATATGTCTCATCAGGAAATGGCATAATCGAGTGATGCTATCGAAGCATCAAGAGAAGCAGTGTTCCATAATGAAGGCAGTGTATTGGCACAACGTTACCCCTAAAGATAATGTATCACCCTCAACTGCGCCAGCCAACATGATTTACCAGTACAATGTCTGGCTAAGGAGCATTGACGCAACGCATTCAACTGAACGGATAAAAGAACGAGCGCCGTATGACCTGGGCGATCACGTGTGGGTGAAAGCTCCACATAGCTGGTATACAACTCGGTACTGGATGGGGCATGTCACTGGAATAAGTAACTCACGCTCTGTGCTGGTTGATGGAATACCAAGACACGTAAAAGACTTGCGTCACTATGTAGGTTCAGATACTTCAACAAGTGAAACTAGCAGTGAGTGCTCAGGAAGTGAACGAATAATAACCATCGAAGGTTAGGTTAGCACCTCTTCAGATGGCGAAGACAATGTGCGTGAGGTTGTCAGATTGGAAGAATCCTCAGAAGATGAGTCTTCAGAACATTCATGAGATGGCGAAGACTCTATGCCTGAGGTTGTCAGATCAGAGGAATTCTCAGAAGACAAGTCTTCAGAACATGTGATCTGCTGAAGAAAAATTACAAAAAGTAGTTAGCAAAAATCTACTTCAATGGCTATAATCTATGCTAATGTTCTCCCCTCCCTTGAATGGTGTGACCAATCAGAAAAATCTCTTGATGAATCAAAGCTGTTATAGACAAGCGTATGGTTGCAAGAAAGAAATACGACAACAGCAGAAATAGATTTCCGTGGTTTATTTCAACAGGAACGTGTGGGTTTGGGACAGCTACCTTGTGGTAAAGTTCATAAGCCAGCTTCGAATCTAGGTCGATCTCTCATAGTAGTTCACACATGTTGATGGTGGTTGATGCTCCCCTGCTGTCAGCTGCTGACCGTGACAGGTCTCTACCCTGGGCACCTGTTGACTGCCTGTTGAACTTCCGTGTGACCTCTTTTATAGCGTTTTTTTTTATGGCTTAACAGGCTCGAAAACGAAGCGAGTATGATTAGGAGGGAAGCATTTTTAGTTGGACGAAAAATAGAACCCTTTAATTATTATTTTATTTTTCGACCGGGACTCGTGTGTCGGGAACATTTGTAAACGAAGATAATGGTCATTTTGTGACGGGGCTTTGTCCCGTTCACAACCGGTTCTCGCTCTTGAGTATTTGCTGTAAATCAGCCGAGATATGTCTTATTGTATTTTATAACAAAGCCGTTGTTTTTCGTTTATAAAGGCAGATTTTCTGAGCTGCTGGGGAACACGCATTTTTGCTCATGAGAAGGTTGGATGTGTGACACCATTTTGTCGTTTCTACTTTGCTGGACTCTTACGACGGACTATCATTTGTACTGCAAGAAACAGAAGAAATCTATTGCAGTTGCTACTATCAGTTGACAGTATTTTCTTTACTTCAACAATAATACTATTTGCAGTATGAATTAAAATTACCATAAAAGCTCGTTGCAACCTCATAAAAGGTTAATAAAGATAAATGTGGATTATCTATTAATAAATCTCTGTCGCTCTCTTATATATACACTACAGGCAAAAAGTTTGGAGCCACCCTGCATTTCTTTAAAAAGCACATTAAAATGAGATATTTTTGTATTTTTTAAAGTAAAAGATAAAATTTCAGTAACTACAGTGGATAATTACTTTTATTTTGACAAAAGTACTATAAAAAATTAACATACAACACAATCACATATTGTTTTTGTCAATAAAACCACCACCTGCTTTAATTACTGCTTTACAAATTCTTGGCAATTCTTTTCAACAGTTTTTGAAAAAAAAATAAATAGCAGACTTTCCGAAATATTCTTCAAGCACTGACAAAGCTCACTTTTACTCTTTATGTATTCTCTTCAAACTCTTGTATCTAATTCATTCCATTTTAATTCAATGAGAAAGAGGCCATTTGATTGAAATGGCCAAGTCATAATTTGTAAAATTTTGTTCCATTTTTTTGAATCAAGGTAATTTTGAGATAATTCAGAAGAGTGCTTTGAAATTCAATCCAATCTTCAGGCCATGAAGACATAGCCTGAACATTGCACTGAAGTGTGAATATAGTCTTAAGATGTGCTATATTTATGGGATAAAGTGCTCAATATCAGAGATAGAGCGTGTGTAAATATAAAAGTGAACATAGAAGTCAACACTTAGAGGCGACAGTCTGTTTCATGCTGTATGCAATTGTCAGACCTGACGATTGCATATAGCATGAAACAGACTGTCGCCTCTAAGTGTTAACTTCTATGTCCACTTTTATATTTATATATATATATATATATATATATATATATAAATATAAGACATTTTTATGTTTATACATTGTTTTTATAGGTTCAAATATTTAGTAAATGCTCTCATGTACATTCATATCTGCTCATGGCATATCCAAATGTAAACAAATGATGTCACAGATTATGAAATGGACAAAATCCAACCATTATTTTAAGACATTTTTATGTTTATACATTCTTTTTATAGATACAAATATCTAAGTAAATGCTCTGTTTATAATAAACAGCATTAAACATTTACCAGCCTGAATGTCTGAGACATTTTCATAGAAAATATTTGTCCTCTAATCAGAATCAAACCTGTCTCCTATATGGAACTGTCATATAGCCTGACATGCCTTAACTGTTTCAGGCACAGAGAAGCATTCGGTTAGCAAGGTTGATTTTACTGTCTTTAAACTACAATCTTCCATGATTCTCATTCATATCTACTCATGGTGTATCCAAATGTAAACAAATGATGTCGCACATTTTATATATATATATATATATATATTATTGCTCTAAACATTATAATGATAGACAAAATCCATTAATTGCTTAAATTATTACATTCAATATTCACATTATTTGGTATGCTCTTCTCATATTGGATTGAACACCCTTTTGTCTTTAGAATCATCTCAATTCTTCTTGGCATGTATTTGATGATTTTCTGGAAGAACTTTTGAAATTTTGGTCCATGCTGTTATCATGTTATCACAAAATTCTTCTAGATTGGTTGGCTATACACCCAGGATTTGAATCTTCATTTTCACCACATCCCAAATTGTCTAATCTATTTACTATTCCATCAGATTTTCATTCAAACTTTACTCACATGCAGTTATTCCTCTCCTAGTCATGTTTTTGTACTCAGACTAGAACTAAGATCAAGAGTGGACTATTGCATATTCTTTTGACATTGAGGGAACAAAATGTACTTTTTCTACACTTTTGGCATGCCCCTAAGATTGATATTTTATATAAAGTTTCTGTCAGAACATAAATAAATGTTTAATGATATTTTGATGTTATTTAAAGTACATGCATTACATCTGTTAACATGCAAAATGTTACATCTGTTCACATATTAAATGTTGCATCTGTTCAAATGTACAATGGAAATTTTAGCATCTGTTTACTTTCCATACATGCTTTCAGTATTTGCTATATTTATAAACATGCAACCAACCCTACTTGTAAAATCACAGCTGGTTATTAATACTGAAGTTTTAATTATCTAAACATTTCTCAGTTCCTTGTTTTTTTCTGAATTCTAATAATTTAACAAAAAAAGGGAAAAAGATTTTCTCTTATTCAATATCTTTTCAGGATAAGCTGAACCTCTATGGAACACACCCATTTTATCAAATACTTGAGAAAAATGGCAAAAGCCATGGAGTATTTTTGAGGAACAGTAATGCAATGGGTGATTATTTCATTTGTTTATTTGAATGATTTTATCACTAATAACATTTCTTCCATTTTAAATAATACAAACTTTGGATTATTCTCTGTAACAGTCAATATATTAGTGTTTACATTGTCTGAATTTCTGAAAAGGAATTATTTTCTTTATTAATTTTTGAACAGTTTATCTTTCATCTTATTGTTGCTTTTTAGTGCAACAGTCATTTTTTTATATTCTGCAACCATTAAAATAAGCAGCATAAATTGGAAAGGAAGTAGTAGCCACTGATGAGATCCAAACTTGTATATCACATCATGGAAGCCTGTCTAACATGGATGATACCTTTATTGATTTGACCACAAAAACTAATTAAGCCAAGTTAAATCTAGTCATATGTCATTTCTCATCCATTTCTTTACACCATATTGATTGTTTACACCAAGTAGTAGCAGCAGTGTCGTATGTCCAGAAATTGCTGTCACTTTCTGTCTGCAATCCGTCTAGTCTCGCCGAAGCCTAGAAAAGCAGTGGCCTCCCACGTCCACTCGCCGGGTTTTTAATCGGTAGCGTGGTTCTCTTATGCAAATAAGTCTGCTGCATAAAAATGGCAGTAGGCGCACGCGCGACCGACTCTCAGAGAATGGTTCGACACGCGAGGCAACGAATTCGCTTTGCTCCTGGTAAGTCACTGTCACTCCTATTACAAGCAGACGTAATTGTCTTAAGTTGTCTGAATTTCTTAGATGAAGCATTTTCATTATTAATTTTTAATTTGCTTCACTTTCGTCTTATAGCTTTTTTATAATAAAATAAATATAAAATGGTAAGTCTGATCAGTTTGAGAAGATCAAATTGGCAACTGATCTAAAAAATGACCTATAATCTGTTGTTAACTGGGACAAGAAATGGCTTGCTAATTTTAATGTTTGCAAAATAAAACTGCTTGCTTTTAATCGTCTGAAAGAACTTTTTATTCATGGCTGATGCTAGACTCCAGGAGAGTCACTCCTTGCAATTTCTCGGGCTAACGTTTTCCATTGACATAAAGTGGAAAGATTATATTGAAACAGTTGCTCATTTGTTTATTGTGTCATGAAACAATTTTACTTGCCAAAATCTGTCTTACATATTTATAAGTCTACCATTCATCCATGCATTGAATATTGCTGCCATATCTGGTCTGGTACTTCTGCAATGTATTTAAAGATTCTTGATAAAATACAAAGAATAATCTGCAATGTTATTGATCCTGATCAGGCATCTTGGCTTGAATTAGTTTCCCACCACCATAATGTAACTTCCCTGTGCCTTTTCTATAAATATTTCCATGTTAATTGTTCTGATGAGTTTTCCTCTTTGATATCTAGACTTTATGAAGTTAAGTTCAGTATTAGATTGGTGGCAAGATTTCACAGTTGAAATGGCTAGATGTAACTATAAGTTCTGTGCTAACAGTTTCTTCTGTTGCACTTCTCACTTGTGGAACTCACTTCCAGCTTTCTGTTTCCCAGTCAACTTTCATGTTTAAAAATTTAAATGCAATGTCAATTGTTATCTTCTGTTTTCTTAATTCCTGTTCTTTTATTGTTCTTTCTCCTTAATAGTGTTTTTTTTTCATATTCTATCACACTCAGTAACCCCTTGCATCTTAGAGGCTTTGTTGCCTTATTTGAAGAGACATGATTAAAAAAGTTAAGATTAAACTTACTGGTTTACTTTAAATGATCACATATACAGATCAATATGAAATAGCTAGATGTAACTGTAAGTCCTATGCTATCAGTTTCTTCTCTTGCACTTCTCGCTTGTGGAATCCTTTTCTAGTTTCTTGCTTTCCAGCCAACTTTGAACTTCAATAATTTAAATGCAATGTCAATCATTATCTTCCGTCTTCTTAATTCCCGTTCTTTTATTGTTCTCTCTCCTTAATAATGTTTTCTTCTTCTCATATTCTTTCACACTCAGTAACTCCTTGCATCTTAGTGGCTTTATTACCTTGTTTGGGGTGAAATTATTTAAAACAATCTACAAACATATATTGTTTGTTGTGCTTCACTTTATTTTACGTCTCAGTTATTATTGATTAGAAAAAAAAATTCGAGGTTGAATCCAATGACAACATTGCTGAAAATAAAGTCACAGCCATCATACTAACCTTACATTTGTTCAAATTTTCCTGGGATAGCACAATGGGTTAAAAAGAAAATGGTGTAATTGTATATTATTTACATTATTCGGACTATTGTCCTCATCTTTGTTGCCATATTTATTACAATGTTTCGGCTGTTGTATGCTCTAGCCTTCTTCAGGTGGTTGGAATGTTGAACTGAATCCTTTATTCCGCTCACTGTTCTAGTTCCACATGCCATTTTTAATGGATGTCAGTTATCAGTTATCTCCTGTTAATACCCCTCTGAAAGTTCTCCACTGCCTTAACCGGGTATTGAACTCACACTCTTTGGGTCCTGTCACTGGATCTAACTAACGCTTTGTGCCATGTTTCCTTGTGTATTAATCTCTACGTATTATAAACCTAATGTCTTCAGCAACATTTTTTACCAGTGCTCATATTGCAATTTTTGCTGTTGTCATTACATGTTTTTACCAGAGCTCATATTGCAATTTTTTGTTGTTATTGTCACTTTTCTATGGCACTCCTTATTACTGGTTCCCATACTGTATTCATTTCTATGCTTGGTCAGCTCAGGAGAAATATCGACAGATAGTGTAATTGTAACCACAGAAAAATGTTGTTGAATATTAAAGTACCTATATTTTTAAGACAAGATGATCAAATTTTAAATGTGTCAGCGTTTCACCATTTCATGTCATCTCATTTCTCTCTTAGATTTTTTGAAGAATTATAATAATCTGTTTGCAGATATTATTCTACAACCTTCTCCTGCTATAACCTGGCGTCCAATTGGTGGTATTTTTGATTTTTATGTCTTCCTGGGTCCAACTCCTGCTGATGTGGTGCAGCAATACACTGATGTCATTGGTCGTCCATTCATGCCACCCTACTGGAGCCTAGGATTTCATCTGTGCAGGTTTGGCTACCCAACTGCTAACAAGACACTGAGCATTATGAATCGAGTCCGAGCAGCAGGAATACCTCAGGTAATTAATCTCAGAATTTAATAGAAGATTGTTTCTTGGATAAATATATATTTTCTTCTATTTGAGGTGATAGATGTTCAATTGAAAAAAAAAAAAAAATTTTTCAAAATTTCTTCATTTGATTACAGAGTTAACCCTTTCAAGTTCACATTCACGTAATTGATGTATACAGTAAAAAATATTATTGTTTGTTTCAGTAAACATATCTAAATGACTTTGACTTAGAAAAAAATATTATTGAATGTATTATTATAAATATAGCAATGGAACACTATGTCTACTTTACCCCATATCAATGCATTTTTGGGACAATTATATGTTGAAAACTTCTGTGGGACACACATGTCCCTGGGGACTCAAAAGGTCTTTCAAGCCAGGATTTTGTTTAATAAAACATTCCTGTTAATTAATATCTGACTTCTTTTTTTTAAATGAGGTAATTATTGTTAGTATATATCAATTTATTTTAACTGTGGTCCTCATCTTGGTTATTGTGACTATAACAACCAAGATGAGGCCAACAGTTAAAATAAATTTAATATATAATAATGATAATGCCTCATCTTATGTATATGATGAGATTGGTAATCCATTATAACTTCTTTTACAAAAAACAAACAAATCATTTAATCTAATGCTTTTATATAAACCAATTAAAAGCAACAAACATTTTGAAAAATGAAATGTGGAATTAGTTAAAAGAAAGAGCATAAAATTCCATCAAGACAATGCAAGATTTTTTGTTTATTTGATAAACAGAGGAGAATTGTTACAGCTAAATTTTTCACATGTCTACTATATTTAGCAGTTATTTGCCATATAAATTACCATTTATTCCAGTTTTTACATAATTCTTTTAATAAAAAAATTCAATTTTATAGAAAACTGTAAAAATCCCCAAGATCATTTCTTTGATAAGAATGGTCAAAATTCAGGGCTAATTGAATTATAAAGCTAGATGAAGAATGGTAGAAGATAGGAGACAAAAATGTTAAATATTTTGTTCAATAAAGTTATGAAAAATGAAGTTTCTTTTATTTCTAATCAATAAATTGAACAATATTATTTTACTATAATTAGGTAATGACAGTTTCAGATTTAATAATTGGGTAATGATAGTATTGGATTTAAGATTTAAGTAAGGATAGCATCAGATTTAATAATTAGGTAATGATAAAATCAGATTTTGCAATTAAGTAATGACTTAAGAATTAATGATAGTATTAGATTTGATAATCAGATAATGATAGTATCAGATTTTACAATTAGTTAATGACATTATCTGATTTAATAATTAGTATTAAAAACAATATGAATGATAGTATTGAATTTAATTTAAAAGTGTACAATATATTCAGTTTCATTGTTTATTATCACAATAACTCAGATTGGTAGGTATAGGGGCAAGAATTGTTTGCCCTTGTGGATTAAATAAAGGGTTTCATTTGACATTTCCAGAAGTTCAATAGATATCTAGGGAAAATAAGTGGGACAGCAGCCAAAATATTATGATAAAAACAACAAAGATAAGGAAATTGGTTCAAATTTATAAAACTATAATTATTAGGAAAATTAAAAGTTTTAAGGAAAAACACAATGACTTAAACTATATTATTAATATTTTTATGAATTTTGTGATCTATATTATATTACCAATGCTATTCAGTTGCATATTTTGATTTTAAATGTTATAATGGCAAATACAAGAATTGAATTAGACCTCAGAGCTTCTGAAGCTACTCACAGAATTCAGGAAAAGGATAGAAATGAAACTATTTCTGATTGTCCTGCCCAAAACTTGTTTAACCATTTTAAGTGTGGTAAGTTATCCTTTGAAATAAAGCCCAGATTTGGGCAACCATCATTTGTTAGTTCTTCTTTTATGTGTCATGTCTCTTGAAGCTAAATCACAATCTGAGGTGGGGGTGTCAGTAGTCAACAGCCAGTGGTGTAAATGCACAAGTTCATTCCCTATCTGACTGTGCAGTCCACTATTTATTACTATTTCCAATCACACTTGCAAATGACCGATAGTAATAAAGAGTATCAACATGCATATGTAGTGGGACAATTGCAAATGGCTGCTCCTTGCGACCATGTGTGACCGCTCAACCCAGCAAGGTAAGTGTATTCTCTCGCTATATCTCTTCAGGACATAGGTGGTCATGGCTCTCCACAACTTCCTATCCTTTGTGGCCCTTAGCAGTTTCTCTCCCTTTTCTAAGGCTCTGTCCCCCAGTTCTGCCATCCATTCACACAAGGTCAGGTAAATGGCTCACTGCCTTACTCTATTTCTCTTGTCCTCAATATTGCCATGAGTATTAAGTTTTCCAAGCCCTCCTTTTTCATTATGTGTCCAAGGAATTTTAACTATCTTTTCCTGATTCTGGATATGCTTTAGAATACAAAGTGAAAGACAACCAGACCACAGTTCTTGAAAACATTTAAAAGAGCTTAGATCAGCAGAAGATACAATATGTAAAATATTTTTTTTATCCTGTGACCCGTAGGGTCCTAGGGGCACCATGTGTACTGCCACCACAGTAGAAGTGGTGTTTTTTGGGCAAGATAGCTGTTGAAGCTTGAATAAGCATGGAATAATAATAATACAACACAAAATGTACGTAACAAAATGTATTGAAACAATGAAAAAAGGTACACAATATTTACAGGTAGTTTTGGTATATTCTTGGGAAGACTGTTCCTGCAGAATGGGTTGACTAAGTCGCAGTCGGGCAGAGTCTCTGGATTCGATCTCTTAATCTTCCGTCGTCTTCCGGTACCAACCCATATTTATATGGTCGGTACTCCACTTATGTAAATTAGGTGTATCATACACAACAATAGCCCAACCCTCTCCAAGCCAGTTTTGAATTCAGTTTTTCCTTTTCCTAGACCAGTTGCCACCCAGTCTGTCCTGTTATTTACCCATAGCTGGGGGGAGAAGAAGAGGATTCATATCTTTCCCAAGAGCATGTAATTGACTTGGATCCATCTTTTCCAAGTGCACATAATTGATCCAACTTAGCTCTCCAACTCCTTAATCTTAGCCGCTATCCTTTACTCCACCGTGCCTCCCATGTAAAGCATTACATAAGCTTAAAAATATAATTTGTTTTGCTTTCATATGGTTCAACAGTATCATCTTCTTTTTAGGATGTGCAATGGAGTGATATCGATTATGCATATAAGAGAAGGGATTTCACCTTTGATTCTAAAAAGTTTGGAGATCTGCCAGGTATGGTGCAAGAAATCCATAATCGAGGAATGAAATATGTCCTGATAATAGTAAGTTGTTCATTGTCTAATATCTTTTCTTTCATATTTATATATTTTAGCCTAGCTTACTAGTTTATCATACGACAATATTCAAAATCATGAACTACATTTGTAATAAGTTCTGTCAATATTGTAATATTAGTTCTAATTACTCAATGCTTCAAATATACATTGTGCAAATTTATTTCAGTGAATCTTATTTAAATAATCTTATTTAAATTCATTTTCCTTGTCAAGTGTTAAATCTAACAAATGAAAATACCTTATTGATTGATTCCTTATAAGATTCAAGGTGTGCCTACCTCTACCAACAACCTTGTCAATAAAAGTCTGTTCACAGAAAGATAAACTTTAGGGAAGATAACTCTGTTTTGATTTGTTCATGTATTTTGAACTTAATATCTCTCAATCAAAAGACTTCTGGATCCATCCAAAAAATTTAATGACTTGTTCATAGTCCACTTTTCTATAAAATGTTACTGGAATTCATTGAGAACTTTTGGAGTTATTGGGTGGACAAAAATGGGTGAATGTATGACCATCATTTAAATACATTACCAGTGGTAATGATATTTAATCATTACATAGCAGTAGTAAAGATATTCAATCATTGCATAGCAATGGTAAAGGTATTCAATCAGTATGTAGCAATAGTAAAAATATTCAATCATTACATAGCAGTGGTAATGATATTCAATTATTACATAGTAGTGGTAATGATATTCAACCATTACTTAGCAGCGGTAAAGATATTCAATCAGTATAAAAATATTCAATTATTACATAGCAGTGGTAATGATATTCAACCATTACTTAGCAGCGGTAAAGATATTCAATCAGTATAAAAATATTCAATTATTACATAGCAGTGGTAATGATATTCAATTATTACATAGCAGTGGTAATGATATTCAATCATTACTTAGCAGTGGTAAAGATATTCAATCAGTATGTAGCAATAGTAAAAATATTCAAACATTATATAGTGATGGTAATGATATTCATTCATTACATAGTAGTTGTAATGATATTCAATCATTATATAGCAGTGGTAACTAAACTCAATTATTTCATAGCAATAATAACAATATTCAAGCATTGAATATACAGGAATAAAATTGCATGACATGGAACCAGGTACAGAGTAGTTTGCATGTCATGCTTTTCAATGGAGCATTTGAATGAAATGTTGTAAATATTTGATAAACTGAATTTAAAGTATATTGACTGTTTTTTTTTTTAATACTTTTCCCACTGAACCATTTTGCATTTCTCAAATGTCAACAAGAACTGACAAAGAAATCACATGGTAGCTACTTTTTTACTGTTCAAATATTCTGAAGTTAGATTCTAGTTTAAAATAAATCAGCAATAAAAAACAATCTAAAGATTTTTCTTGATTTTTTTTCTTACTTAGTATATAGATAACATGAATGATCTGTTTTTACATTGGTTTTCTGATATCATTCAGATTAATCACACTAATTGTTTGAAGGTTATTGAAATGTTTCTTCACTGTTTTTTATCTGAACTTCTGTGATTAAAATTAAATTTTGGACAAACTTGGACTTTTGTGAAATGGAGTGGCAAAAAGATGGTTTTTCCATTGACATCACTATTATTTTAACTACTTTCACTCCTCGACAATATATTTTAAAAAGTGATATAATTAGAATTGTAAAACCTAAACATATGAAAGTGAATGTATACATTTTCTTTGTACTTGAGAATTTTTTATTGTAATGGTTGGCAAAACATTGGCTAACTGCCAATTGATTTGAACTTTATAAAATAGTTCTATATTTTAAGAATAAAAAAAATGTATATTTACTTTCATCATATGTTTAGGTTTTATTACAATTCTAATCATCACTTAATTAAAAGAATAAACATTGCCAAAGATGGAAGTGAGTTAAAATAATAACTGTATCAATGAAAAAAGCATCCTTTTGACACTCCATTTTTGGGGGGGCCTGAAGATCCAGGTTTGCCAAATTTTGTTACTGTTCTTTCAGAACAGTTTCCTTATCTTTGTTGTTTTTATTCTGTTTCATTCAAAGGACACAGCAGCAATAATTTTGTAATACAGACAACAAAGACAAGGAAATTGGTCTGGTTCTTGAGGAATAAATATGTGTATTTTGTTATAGGATCCTGGTATTTATGCTGGGCCAAAGAAGAAGTCCTATATTCCTTACAGTCTTGGAATGGATATGGGCATTTTTATTAATGATAGTTCAGGGACCAAACCTCTGTTTGGTAAGGTAAGTTAAATCAAATCCAGTGCTGGATTAATCTAATAGCAAAAGTAGTAAATGCTACAGATTCCTGCATTTTTTAAGGTTCTGTATTAAATACTTTTTATGCTGTCTAGTGAACTTGGCATCATACAATCTGATAATAATAATGCTTACCTGTTGGGGGAGTTGCATCTTTAATTATTCATCATTTCAGGTAACATTATATCAAGGCCATTAAATCTACTTGAATATCACATTACAATCACTTGCCTCATATTTTTCTGGGTTTGTTTATTATAGTGATAGAAATTTAAAAAAATTTACCTGTTTTATAAAATCTGTAACTATACTGGCATGTGACATCTATCTATATACTTATCTAGCTATCTATGAAGGCACCTCGACGTGGTGTAATGGCTAGCAAGATTGTCTCACTAGAACCATTAGCTGATTAGTGAGTTCAATCCTCAATGGGTGCCCCATGCTTTCAGCCATATGCCACACCTAAGCTGCGCTTAGAAAATCTTTGGGCACCTTGACATGGTGTAATGGTTAGCAAGCATGTCTCACTAGAATCATTACAATTGAGTAGTGAGTTCAATCCTTACTGGGTGCTCCATGCTTTTGGCTTTGTGCCACATCTAAGCTATGCTTGGAAAATCCCTATCAAGCTATCTATGATGGAATCTCCTGTCACGGATGACAAATGAGGGTTCAGTAAACAAAGATGCATTCAACTTCTATGGATACGCATGTATCTCTCAAGGCCTGCAGGTGTCTTGCAGATTTTTGATGGATGGAACACATGGTAGACCCATTTCATGCATGAGGTTGAGGATCAATTGCCACATGTTTCTGCGAGTGGTCAGTAAGGAAAAGGACAAATGATCATGACACCCTACACATATTGTGACAACCCTAAGCTAACACCTCTGATTTAAAACTCACTAAAGTTCAAATTTTAGAGAGGTTATAGTGAACTTTCTCTGTCTGTGACTATTACTTTCTGTCTCTGTCTATGGCAATTACTCTCTCTGTTGGTGACAATTAGACCTCTCTCTCTCTCTCTCTGTGACAAGCTAAAAGCAGTCAGGTAAAAGCCCATGGTCTAAAAACCTTCACCCCAGCAACCATGTTGTGTGCAAGCTAAAAATAATTATGCATGGAAAGTCAGCTAACTTGTGATTCAAAATTGAGTGCAAATGAAAAGCAACATATCAGTTTGGGTAAGGAAACTCAATGGAGTCAGAACATCTATGAATTTGTCACATGAGGGATTTAACCGAACTGAAGAGAATGTATGCCAACCCCAATTCAGACAAACTCCCTGTTTCAGTGAAGTTGGAGGTGGTTAAGATTACTTCTAACTGGAAAAGAATCAGCCCTGCAAAAGACACCCAGAAACAGAAATGACATTTTTCCATTAGAAAATAAGATGTTGAATATTATATGAAAGAAAAGAACAGGACAAGAAAAAATATATAACGAGAGAGTGAGAGAGAAAGAGGAGAAATCTAAAAGAAAAGAGAGAGAGAGAGAGAAAAAATATTTGATTTCAGTCAAATGAACTAAGCTAAGTGCTTTTCTTTTTGAACTATATCACACAGACTGCATATATTTTTTTGATATTCAGTTATTTTTTGTTTTCAACTGTTTCACATTCAGATACTTTCAGATCTTTGTTTCAAATTGTTTTATGTACAATGAAAAATCTTTTATATTTGTGTTTGTATTTTGTCTCTACTAGTTTTCTTTTTCACATGATTTTGACACTACCAGAGAAATTCACTATTATAATCTTTTGGCAACTGATCCACTTTATTATTTTTTTTTTTGCTTTGTTTTTTTTTATGTTGTGGCTCCCATGGGTTGTAACAGTATGTACATCCATGCAGACATGCGCGTGTGGGTGAATGCACATCTGCAGAGATGGGCACATGGCTGTATGTGCACAAACACACACACATGAACACAAAAAATAGAAACAAAACTTACACAAATGTTAAATGTGTAAAAAGGGAAAAATATAAGCAGTCGATTGCTGATACCTCCTGAAGAGTGGATGGACATGTTCGCATATGAAACCCTAGAGTCAGGACACTGAAGATAACATCAATCAGCTAACAAAACACTTGCAAGGGACTCTGGTTTAGCACACACCACAACACACCAACACCATAACATTTGCTAGTTTAAAGTCTGTTTCAGTTCAAAATAAAAAAAATTTCTTTTTTAAACATCGTTAATTCACCCATTTAATATTATAAATTATTAACTTAATAATTATAATCAAAATTATGTAATATAAACACAAAATGAACTCATTGTTGTTCTGCTAGACTCCCTTTTATGACAATTTTGTTTTTTTAATTTGTAATTTCAAAAAACTGTCATGAAAATATTTATAGAAAAAGACAGAGAGTAGCCACATCATAACAGAGACAAAGTGACTCAAGTCGAGATGCCAGGTCAGGACCAATAACATTATAGATTCTTCTATGAATGTTTTTAAGGATCTTGAGATATATAGCAGGGGCACCAAACTAAATATGTTTGGTTTGGTTTGGTTTGTTTTACAGCATATCAACCTGAATGGGTTATTTAATGCTGACAAAATTTTTATTGCTGATAATTCTTTTTGTTTTTATCAAATGTATTCCTGGTAAAATTTTTTCCTTCAAAAATCTATTTCTGGTAATATTTTTTTTCAAAAATATTTTTTTTTCAAAAAAGTATAGCTGGTAATACTTTTTTTTCAAAAATGTATTGCTGGTAATAATTTTTTTCTTCAAAAACATATTGCTGGTAATAACTTTTTTTACAAAGTATTTCTGTTATTAAAACCTATTTTTACTCTTTCATAGTGTTTTGACCCTAGTTTGGGGATTAAGTATTTGCCCATAGCTGGGACCCCTAACAGGTGCTACCACTCCAGGTCAGGGTGGACCTGGGAACACCAGCAATTAAGAGGTGGTTACACGCTTCTCAAAACCTCCTGATCAGAGGCCTTGGTGTTGGATGTAGTTTATCGTCTTACCCAGGACGTGGATGTAGTTTATCATCATGCCCAGGATGGCAAACTAAATATGGTAGTAATATTCAATGCACAGACAAGTAGTGTAGTGATATAGGCAAAATGAACTTGCCCTATTTTGTATAGAGTCCAGTGACTATTAAAGAAGTCAGTCCTCACTTAGTAAGGGGAGAACTTCTACATGTTAGACTAGACAACATCAAAACAGGTAGATTTATAAATGTGTGGAAGATTGAAGCTCATTTCCATGATCAGTTACCAGTTTTACTTTATAGGACCAATTGGACAGGAGTAAATACTTATGTCATCAGCAAAAATACCTAGTTGGGAACTGATGACATTGGTAAGGTCATTGATAAAGATAAGGAACAATGTATGTTCAAGGTTAGAGCCCTGGGGATTAAGGAGAAATGATTTAGAGAGAGGCCTTTCAACACAACATTCACCAGTTGAGTATTCAGTCAGAGAAACCTAAGCCCTTCAACTTATGAAGAAGGCCAGCATGCCAAACCCTGTCCTTTGACCAAAGCCTGAACCATGACATTCTTATCTAATCTTCATAGACAAATTAAGTAATAATTGTTAACGCATCAACAGTTGACCTACAAATATGAAAGCCATATTATTTATCTGAAAGAAGGCCATGTGAAGAGAGATGCTTAACTAATTTAAAGTCGAAATCAGCAAAAGCAGCCAGTATTTATGTGTCTAAAATCAAATCTCTTGGTTTCTTGCTTGTCTGAAATCTAATCTTTTGATCAGGTTTTATCTGTTAACATTTAAGCAATTTTGAAAATTTTTGTCATTAAAATTTTATTTTTTGGTAAAATTGTTTTAGTTGAATCTAGTTTCTTGGGATTTTTTGTCATTAATTGAAATTTTCACCTAAAATGAAAAAATTTTATTTTTGTTTTCAAACATCTATAATAAAAATGCTTTGCAAAAAAATAAAATCGTTTTAGTTGAATCTAGTTTAAAATTAAAAAAATATTTCACTAGAAATACAGTGTCTTATTTCTAAAGTAACATTGTAAAATCACCTAAGTAATCCATCAAAGTAAGACACGGAAATCATTCCATGGCTGTGGGAAAATGATTGAAGCTGAGATGCCAGGTCAGGATTGCTTACATTACAGACACTTCAATTTTGTTAAGAATCTTATATATTGCATATCACTTAGTAGAGATTCCATTTCAGGTGTAAACCAGGTGAGAGAGGAATTGAAAGAGAATTTATGAACAAAATATTCAACAATAGGTGACAATACTTCAAACTGATTGAAGAGATGTGGGATTGAGGATTTACTCTTATTCACTACACTCTGACAGAGCTGCCAATAAATCACAAGAACCTAACTTGTGAGAGGCTATACAATGTCTCATTTTATCAGTGAACAGACTTAGCCTCATTGAAGACATGCTTACACTTATTATGAGCAGATACAAAGGTATCTCTTTTTGTTACGTTAAGTCATGGAAAACAGGACAGACTCGAATTTAAGAGAGAGCTGGCATTTATTAGGTACCTGAGGAAGAGAAAGGAGCTAGGGATAACATGGAGCAAGAATCAGGTTCCTAAATGTTGATTAGGGAGCATACATTAAATGGTAATGCAAAGGGAGTATGCATTAAACAATAATGTAATCACATTAGTATAATCTGAAGAAATGATTCCAGTAGATGATAGTGCCAAAGAGATTTCAGTTTCACTTGGGATTTCTGTGATGGCTTGACAGCTTTGATGCTGGCTTTCACTCAGGGAGAAACCTCAGTGGTACAATTTTCAATGTGAAGATTAAAAATTTTAACCCAGGGGGTGTTCTGAAGAAAATCAATGAAATGAATCCCAATCAGTGCATTAGTAACAAAATGATATCTTGTGAATTGGGGGTTCTTGCCTAATAGACGAGTGAAAAGAAGTATCTACAGACACTACCACATGATCTGAGTTGCCAAGAGAATAGAACGTGACTTTCAAAGTTTGGATCCTTAGAACAATTGCCATGAAAATATTTATAGAAAAGACAGAGGGAAGCCACATCATGGCAGTGGGAAGGTGAATGAAGTCAAGATGCCAGGTCAGGACCGATAACATCACAGACACTTCTTTGGATTTTGTTGGAAATCTTGAGACCAAATATGGTAGCAATATTCAATGCATGGACGAATGGTAGATTTATAAACTTGCAAGAAGTATTTTTGGTAACAAAATGATGTCCTGTGTATAAGGTGTTTTTGCCTAATAAACAGGTGAAAAGAAATATTTATTGACACTACCACATGATCTGAGTTGCCAAGTGTGACAATAATCCGAAGGCAAAGGAACAGATCAAGCAAAGAAGCATGTTCGCCTGAAGCATTAGGGAAATGAGTAAGATAAGAAATAAAACATAATATATATAAACTTTCAATTTTTAAGCTTCCAATTTATTTTATTTCTTACTTATTGGTGTTGAAAAGCCCTGCAAGTAGGTTCTTCTTATGAGGTGAAATAGCTATAACCAAATGAGGTAATTTTGAATTTCAATTATATATATATATATATATATATATATATATATATATATATATAATTACAGTTATATGAAATGCAATGAAGCAAAAAAAGAAAAAAAACATTTTGAATTAAACAAATAGAATTTCCAAACACACTTAATCTCTTGTATTGCATTATTTTGATTTTAACAATGTCTTTGACTTTCACTTTTGATGCAGTCCGTTTCTTTCTTTTCCTTATCAAGATGATTTTTTTTAATAAAATGAACCACATGATACATGTTTATTTAAACATCACTTGGAAAATTATCCCCCATTTCAACCTTTCTTGTTTACATTGTTTATTAACTTTTTATTTATTTACACTATTTACATTATTCAGGCTGTTGTCTGTTGTTCGAAATACAACAAATATCATCTGAAGAAGGCTGGAATATACAATGGCTGAAATGTGAATAGGACACTAAAGATGAGAACAACAATCTGAACAATGTAAATAATGTAAATAGTTACAATAACTGATCTCAGAAATACAGACAAATGTTTTTATATATTCCAATCATGTGTTTTTACATCTGGTAGAATAGACAAAGTAAACATGCATGATGACTGACATTATCACTTCATTTCTTATGGATTTGTAATACATTTGCATTTTTATTTTTAGGTTTGGCCTGGAATTACAGTTTTCCCAGATTTTACAAATCCGAAAACAACAAAATATTGGCATATTCTGATAAGCAAGTTCCACGAAAGAGTCAAGTTTGATGGACTCTGGCTGGTAAATTTATATTTGCTACTTTTTACTTGAAAGTTTTTAAACAAAACTTCATACATTTTGCTTGAATATTTGACATTAGGTGGTGTTACTCTTATACAGTGATTCATTTGGACCAATTTCTTCATCTTTGTTGTTTTTATCACATGATTTCTATCATAATCTCCAATACAGATCAGCATTATAGTGGAGAATTGTGTTTTGAAGTTCTTTTGGAAATGATAGGTAAAGTAATGGAAGCAGCAGATCTACAAGGATCTCTATGTTTGACATTCCCGTAAGATTATTGAATGTGACAGACACCTGAAGATGGGTGGAGAGCAGATTAGTTGAAGAATAATTTAATTAGCATAGTTTAGTTTTAGTTTAGTTTTTCCTTCTGCTTGTGCTGTTAGATGTCACAAGGAGACAGCAAAAAGTAAAAATTTTCTTATAAGGTTATTACAAATAGACATGTAGAATGATTTTTTTATTGTCTGCCTATACTTGAAATAATGCTATGATAAAAAAAGTAAAATTTATGAAATTTTAAAAATCTGTGCCAGAAAATATACAAAATATATATTATATAATTATTATATATATTTGAACTTTTCCATTTTTATCAAAAGATGATACTGACTATTGTAAAAAAACAAATCATGACTCAAAATGTGTGATATGTTTTTAATTTAATACTAGTTAACATGAGCATGTGGTTGAGTGGTTAACATTTTGACTATGAGACCATGGTTCAAATCTTGTCAAATTTATGAAGGAGGTGACCTTGATAATATCAGTTAGGGGAGATGACCCCAGCACATGTCATCATCTGAAGGTACCTGAAAATCATACTATAGACTAACCCAAACCTTGCCAGTGAAATTGGGTTGATGAAACGATTCAGGCGCTATCACAATGTCACAGGGTAATTGTGACTGACAGTTTAAGCATACTAGCCTGGTTCAGCTACTGATCACACAGGATTGTGTGCCCTCCACCAGAAACTGTAACTAATGTCTTCTCAGCATAGGTATAGTATAAACCACAGGTTGGCTTTGTGGCTGTTGAAGAAATAAAAATGTACCTGAGTATGTATCTGCAACAGACATTAAGTAGCAACACTAGTAGTGTCTATAGACTTCCAACACTGACAGATGCCTGCTATTACTTAATAATATTTATAGTTTTAAAAGGTTAAGCTGATCATATTGCATAATAATATTTATAAATTAAAAAATTTCTGTTGGCCATATTACATAGCAATATTTATAATTTTAAAACTTTGAACTGACCATATGATATTATATATATATAATTTTAAAAATTTAGCCTGACTATATTACATAATATTTATATATTTAAAATTTAAGCTAACCATATTACATAATATTATTTATAATTTTTAAATTTAAACTGACTATGTGACCATAATAATATTTCTAATTTAAAAAATTTAAACTGACGATATTGCATAACATTTATAAATTTAAAATTTAAGCTGGCCATATTACATAATATTTATAATTTTTAATATTTACATTGACCATATTAGATAGTATTTATAATTTTTAATATTTAAGCTGACTACATTATGTAATATTTATATATTTAAATTTTAAGGTTACCATATTACATAATACTTATAATTTTTAAAATTTAATGTGACCATATTACATAATAATATTTATAGTTTCTAAAATTTAAGCAGAGCATATTACATAAGAATATTTACAATTTTTTAAAATGAGGATGATTCAACTCTGTGGAAGTGGCATAACACATCCTAGCTGTAATTATCTGTACTGGTGGAATTAAAGAATGGAGCTCATATAAACATTTATCATTGAAATAGTGATTGAGTAACAACAGGCTTGTAATATTACATTTATGAGAAAGAGGTTGCAAATTGGAAAATGGGGATGACATATGAACATGTTAAGGTTTTGGTTGAATTGTTTTTGACCTTTTGTACATGTAAATGACTACTCTGTTTGTTTCATATGCAAATAAGAATGAATGCTCGAGAAATATGGCATTGTGCCAAACTTAGCCCAGTCTAACATATGCCTACTCTTAGGTACCTCATAGGTGGTTTTTTTTTGAGGAAACATTCGGACCCTAAGTTTAAGCATCAACCATTTATTAATTCGGCACTTTTCCCACCAAAGCTCAAAAACAGGAAGCAGTGAGTATTATAATTGGGCCAATTTTTTTTCTGATATGCATGCTTTTGTGATTGTTTGAATAAATTGTATAAACAAAATGTTTTATTTTTTAGGTTTGACAACAACCTTGTTTTCAGGATTTCTTGCACTTTATGATAAGATGACAGTCCACAAATGTACTTTCCATTTTTATGTCACTATTTAATTTATGCAAGCTTTTTCGCATACTAATTAAGTTGTTCTAAGGCTTTTTTACATGCTACTACTATTTTATTAGAAAGTGCAAAAAATCCTGAGAACAAGATTTTATGTTGCACTAGTGGTTATGAAAAAAATATATTTATTTTGTTAGATTCCAGACTTTTGTCCCTTTAAATGATTTTTTGACCTTCCCTTTTAAGACATATTGCATACTGAGAAAAACACTAACCCCCAATTATTAAGACCCCCACTCTTTTATTAGGCACCTTAGAGTAAATTGAAACAGTTTTGATTGGATCTTTTGCATATGTTATTCAAATGAGACATAAAAAAATATCAAATAATTTCAACTCAACAAGATTACCTTCTTCAGAATATCATTGTCTTTTTTCTTACCATTTTTTTCAGGATATGAATGAGATATCCAACTTTGTCACTGGTTCAATTGATGGTTGTCCCAAACATTCTCAACTGGAAAATCCACCATATGTACCAGGTAGAAATCTTGTTTATATTTTTAATAGTTACTAAGCTTAGTAAGGTACAAGACTACACTCATAGAACATTCAGTGAGAATAAAACTCATTAAAATTATCTTGGTTTATGTTATTAGCTTGCTCATTTCAACATTGCCTCATGATGAGATTTTCAACATATTTCCTAAGTTTATCTTACAAAGTAGCCAGTGAGAGTCAAACTCACTATAGTAGTAATGGCCTATAAAACTAGTTTGTTAATGAATGATCTACATTGAAATGTCCAAGATATTTATTAAACTTAGATGAGTACAGCACAAATCACTCAGTGAGGATCAAATTCATTACAATATTAATGGTTCCTAATGGTAAAACTAGCTTGCTAACTGCTGCTCCTCAGTAAGATAGCCAAATTTAGTGTAACATTTGCAGGGGAACCCAGTAAAGATCACCCCTCACTACAATCATTATGCTTAGTGAGAATAGTTTTCTGACTAGAAGCTAACCTAAAAGTCTTTGCCATTTTTCATTTATTAGAAAAAAGGCATACAGTAAATTTGATATACCATTTGTCCTCAAAGTAATCTCTATTGGCATCCAGAATATTACATTCCTCCAGCTGTGTAATCCCCACAATGATAAAAATCAGGTGTCTTGGATGCAAAGAAATTTGTGATTGCATGTGAAGGATTTCACATGAAGGTGATTGTCTAAGAAATGGAAGAGATGGTAATCTTGTTGGCACAAGTTCTGAGAAGTAAGATGGATGGCAAAGTGTCTCTCAGCCAAGTTGACATATGGTATCCCTGGCCACCATGCCAGATGAGGCATGGCATTGTCATGGAGGAACAGTACACCCTTGCGGTTAGCTAATGCTGGCTCCTTCTGCTTCAGTGCCTGTTGCACATGTTGCAACTGCTGCGGGTACAAATCAGCAGTGATGGTTTTGCCCATTGGTAGCAACTCATAGTGCACTACTTGTCAATAAGTCCACCAAATACAGAGCCTGATCTTGTGTGGGTGCAGTGGTGGTCTTGTGGTGTGTGTCACAGGGCCTCATAGTAACAACCAATGTCTGGCACACTTGTGTCATACAGCAAGCATGTCAAACTCAGGGCATATGGAGGGCCACATCAGCCATATCTGCAACCTCAAGGGATGCACATGCTTACAGTCTTACATTAATCGTAGCTAGTGGTAACTAAACTTTAAGTACAAAATAGTTACAATACAAGGTAGTACAATTTAATCATTTTTATGTTAACCTGATGATTGACATTGCTTTAGACAAACTATTCTCAATATATCAGGTTGGAATGTCTGTGTAGATCCCACTTTGATCAAAGATGACAAAGATGACAAATGTTCATCAGTTAATCTGGTTCTGTGAGAAGTTTTTGTGGCCTTCATAAATGAGAATAACTGCTCACAGACATATGTGGAACCAAACATCGCCATAATCTTTGTGGCAAACTTTCTGAAGTTCTTAAATGTCTAAGAAAGGAATGAAAAAAATCTGGCTACCCCTACTTCTAGGTACTTTCCCTTGAGTGTTGAGTCAGTTTGCATTTCCTGTAGTTCCATCTGTAGACTTTCCTCTGCCTGAGCAACATCAAAAGTGAATGGTACTGAGAATAATGCAAACTGATCTTCACAAGATTAAAAATCACAAAATCTTCACTGAAATTCATCTGACAGCAATTCCAGACAATTGTTGTACTTAGCAAAGATAATTACAGACTCAGTATTGGCAGTTTTTTTCAACTCATAGGAAAATGAATCAAGTTTTCATGTGACAACTGGGACTTCAATAAAGCTAATTTTGCAATGAAACACATGATATCATCATATAACTGAGTAATGAGCTTATTTTTACCTTGTAATTTCAAAGTTAGGTCACTTAATTGGTGTGACACTATTTAGGGTTGCGTGAAAAAAAGAAAAAAGGCGAGAATTAATTTAGGTGATAAGAAGCTATCACGAAAAGACACTGAGCGATGTTATTTTTTCTAACAAAGAAAAGTGGTAAAGATTTTATTTTCATTAGGGAAGAAAGTAAGATTTCGGATCTGTCAGATTTAAGTTGATTTATGTTACAACGGAGCGAATAAAAGATAGCCGTCTGCCCATGGCAATAATGAAAATTTCAAATTAGTCAAGTGGCCTACAAAATAGAATGCTAAGAGTTAATATTAATTAGGTCACGCACTGACTGAGAAAAATGTCAGCTGGACCACCCACAAGTTAAAAAGAAGGAAAGATTAAACCATTAACTATCTGCGGAGATATCATTTGGGAAAAACACCTATTTTATGTCAGAGCTGGCCATGATAAAAAAATTTTTTATCGGAACAGATATTTGGTGACAGAGTGCAGAAGATCATTGACCAACCTCAATGATTATTTGATGAAAATCTCGTTGACGAATTCCAGATGAAATTCAGTTAAGATAGAGATTAGGGACCATCCTACGAGTCGTGTGAGGTCTGCTCGTGGAAGAGAAAGAAAAAGTAAAAAGGAAAGAAGATAATTTTTTTTTCCTTTGAGCAATAATTGCAAACACCCACGCTGCTGAGCGTTCATTGGCTGAAGGGTGGCATGAGCGGTAGGCGAAGGTAAACTATGAAGAAGGAGGGGAGGCCTGCTGACGCCCCCTGAAGGGATTGGTGTAAGATGCCACTGTGAGAGAGAGGGGAACCTGTTGACGCCCTCTGAGGGGATTGGTGTGAGATACCAATATGAGAAAGGAAGAATTTGGGAGGACAATTCCCTTTAAGTAGAAAGTAAGGACTTCCAAAATGGAAAGTAATAAATTTTCCTGTTTGAGAACAAAGAAGATCCTTATTGTGGATTTAGAATTATCACGGAACCTCAAACCCCGACAAGCCCACCTCGGTTTTGGTCGGTGTCCATATAAGCAGAGTCGCAGCGAGTGGACGGCAGTTGGGGTTAGTAAGACAGGCAAGCAGTTGACTTGTAGTTGAGTTGGAGTTGCAGTTGGAGAGAGAGACACAGAGTTGAGCTGTGAGCTCTGAGACCCGCCTCGCAGAAAGCTGAGTGAGATCCACGCATCACGACCTCAACTTCTAACCAAGAACAATTTATTTTTGAAGAATGACTTAGACTCACACCACCAAAACAAGTTTTACGAATATCGCCTGAAGATGCAAAAACCAGTTTCTTAAAAAAAAACAACTTAAGATGTTAAGACTTGCCTAACAAACACAAAGTGTCACGAATCCATATTAGCGGTTTGGGAGAAAGACGCAGTCCTGTATTCAGAAACCAGATATAAAATATTGTTATTCTTTTTTAACACATTTGAACTTTTTGAGTTGTTACTTTATTTTCTTTTATATATATTTGTGCAGTATTACCCTTTTTCGGACACAACTTGCATTGCGGCTCGGCGACTGATTGATTTTGTCTACCTAAGATCAAATCACAACGTGGGTAGGTTGGACTAGAAATCAAAGCCGTTACTTCGGTAACCAGACGTTGAAGGCGAGCTGGGAACGACAAGGCTGATACCGAATCTAACCAGATTCCCATCCAAATCAGCAAAGGGTTAGAACGTCACGTTTGATGCCGCAACCAATACCAAGTCATATTGGTCATCACAGGAAAGACGGAGTGTGGGGCAGAGAGGCCACAGGGTGACGTCACAATTGGTGCCGTGACCAGGATAGCATGGCAGGCGCGGCCAGGCAGACGTCACATTTGGCGCAGCGACCCCGGGGTGACGTCACATTGGGCACTAATATTCACTGAAAAAGCTAGATCTTGGAGCCAGCTTTCATCTTTCATTTCATATGTGCTTTTACCCTTCATCTCCAAAAATATAACAATTTTGTGTTCACAATAAAAAAAATCTTTTCAGTACCTTGTGACATAAAAGATACTGAACTTCTGTGTAGAATGGGACATTTTTGATCTGATTATTCACGTCTTCCAATAACTGGCTAAACTGATGGTGATGCAGAGCACAACCTCTGATATAGTTCACTGTTTTTGTGACAAAACTCAACACATAATCTAATTTTAAAATCTTAGAACATAAGTTCTGTTGATAAATTATACAGCAAAAATGCTTGAAAGTTGAATCTGGATATATGTTTTCCATTTTTGTACCTAACTTGGCAGCAACACCATTATGTCTCCCAATCATATTGGCAGCATCATCAGTAGATAAACACACAAATTTACTCAAATCAAGGCTATACTCATGGAGAAGCTGTTCAACTTTCTCAAAAATGTCCTGGCTTGTTGTAGTATCATGCATTGAGACCAGTTCAATTAGTTCTTCATAAATTTGAAATTCAGTCTCACAAGCCCTGATGAAAATGGCAAGCTGTGCTAATCCAGCTATGTCAACAGTCTCATCTAGAGCAATAGAAAAATGTTCAAAACTTGATGATAAAGTATTCAACTGTCGACTCAAATCATCTGCCATTTCATCAATACATTCAGCAACTATGTTCCTGCTTAATGAAATGTCTTGAAATAAGTGTGACTTCTCTGGACATACAATTTCAGCTGTTTTTACAAGACATCGCTTTATGAAATCTTCTTCACTGTAAGATTTTCCATTGATGGCAATCATTTTCCAGAGTTCAAAGCTTGCAGTAACAGAACTAGCATTACCTTCCTGAATATGTGTAAAGCAACTCTGTTGCTGTGTTAACTTAACCTTCAATTTCCTTACTTTTGACACATGCATATCGCCTTCATATCTCTATCTATAAAAGGCAGGATGTGTGTGTGTGTGTGTAACGAATACACGGCCGCAAATTTCGGCTGAAAGGCCAAGACCAACTTTGCATTCCCAACTCCCATCAATAGTGGAAATAATCGATTTTTTCATGCTTCTACAGCAGTTTTCATGTAGTTTGCAGCCATTTACTACTGGCCAGAGTGAGAGCCTATAGCTGGCTGCCACGAATAGGCAGGAAGATTCTATTGGCCAGCGTGAGAGCTAACAGCTGACTGACATGAATGTTAACTAGCATGCTAGCATGCA